AAATCAGGGGGGGGGGGCGGCTTGTTTAAGGAGGTATATTTAAACCTTTTTAAAAATTGGACATAAACAAAACTTGTTTTTTTTTTAATACTGAATTACAGTTTACAATTAAATAAGAATTATTTTTTTCTGTTCATTCCTCTAAGTTCAGTCATAAAATTCCTGATTTTTTTTATAATATCACAATGCAAAGCACAGCGTAATTTTAAAATTTTCATCGAAAATACCATATTCAAATCTTACAAATTATGAGCATCGTACATTATCGTATTTTAAACTAATAATGTTAACATTTCAAATTAATTAGAATTCACAAACTTATTTCAATTTTGTCAGAAATATTTTCGAAAAAGGTTTAATGTTTATTTTTACTTAGTTTGACCCTTGCGCAATGTAAATAGTAATAATCTTTTTAACAATTATGATTAGATCAATATTTTTTATTTAAAATTCATGCAAAAACATTTAAATTTCATAGACAATACAATCATAGATATAGGACATTTTATTGAAAAATAAATTCATAGACGTTAGACACTAGACAGTGAAGTATTTTCATAGAAAGGTAACATTTCCAAACTTTTAAGAAGTATGATTCTTAGATATACAAATCAGATAGGTTGTACAAATAACAGTGTCCGTGTAGCAAAAAGCGGGTAAAGTTGTAAACATGATAATCTGTAAACTTGCAGTACGTTGTACGTCATAAATGATTTAATGTTTTTAAGTTAGACATAATCAGATTATTCATTGAAACTGCGTTTCAATCGAATACTTAACATGATTAGCTCAAATCATGCGACATACTTAAATTATGCTATAATATATATATATATATATATATATCTATTCTCTTTAATCCTTTAAATACATACCTTAAACTTTAACTGCCCGATTATTGCGTAATATGATGGTCTTAATCATGCAGTGATATCAATAACATTACGTCAATTCCTGTTAACTTTGTAACCTAAGCTATTGAATAAATTAATATACAGAAACAGGAGGGACTCTCTAATTTTGAAAAAACCGGTTTTGGATTTTTATGTACTAAATTCAAAAAAGAAATTAAAAGTGTCCACATTGGATATTCGGATAAAGTAGTCGGGATCAAAGGTATCCCATTCTAAAGTTACCAGCTCAGAACGTTTAACTGGCACGAACAGCCGAAAATTATTTTTAGGAGAAGACAAACGGCATCAAGAAATGAAAATGAAAATGTTTATTTTTCCCAAAAATCTAATTTCATAAAACTACACCTGATGCAAGCTGGAACGTAAGAGTTCAAAACAATTTTTTTTATTTTAATATGTCTCCACTCTTATTTACTCGAAGATAGTTGCTAAAAGTCATAAACTTATTAAAGGAACTTGGAATACTATGGTGATACAAATTAGATTTCATCCTTCTTTTACCCCATTTTCCTATCTTATAGCTTACTTTTCTTTTCTAATTTACTTTTCCTTTCTTGTTTATTTTTACTTTCTTGTTTACTTTTCCTTTCTTGTTTACTTTTCCTTTCTTGTGTAGTTTTCTCTTCTTATTTACTTTTCCTTTCTTGCTTACTTTTCAGTTTTCTTGTTTACTTTTCCTTTCTTGTTTCCTTTTCCTTTCTTGTTTACTCTTCCTTTCTTTTTTACTTTTCCTTTCTTGTTTAGTTTTCTCTTCTTGTTTACTTTTCCTTTCTTGTTTAGTTTTCCTTTCTTGTTTACTTTTCCTTTCTTGCTTACTTTTCAGTTTTCTTGTTTACTTTTCCTTTCTTGTTTACTTTTCCTTTCTTGCTTACTTTTCCTTTCTTGTTTACTCTTCCTTTCTTGTTTACTTTTCAGCTTTCTTGTTTACTTTTCCTTTCTTGTTTAAATTTCCTTTCTTGTTTACTTTTCCTTTCTTGCTTACTTTTCAGTTTTCTTGTTTACTGACGTTAGAACTGACGAGGGTCAACCCAGACCGAAATATATTTTCAATAAATGTGGAACTAACATCTACTTTTTTACTCTACAGAGGTTTGGTCCATCACCATCACTGAATTTTGTTTACTTTTCCTTTCTTGTTTACTCTTCCTTTCTTGTTTACTTTTCAGTTTTCTTGTTTACTTTTCCTTTCTTGTTTACTTTTCTCTTCCTTTTTACTTTTCCTTTCTTGTTTACTTTTCCTTTCTTGTTTACTCTTCCTTTCTTGTTTACTTTTCAGCTTTCTTGTTTACTCTTCCTTTCTTGTTTACTTTTCTCTTCCTTTTTACTTTTCCTTTCTTGAATACTTTTCCTTTCTTGTTTACTTTTGCTTGTTTACTTTTCCTTTCTTGTTTACTTTTCTTTTCTTGTTTACTTTTCTCTTCTTGTTTACTTTTCCTTTCTTGTTTACTTTTCAGCTTTCTTGTTTACTTTTCAGCTTTTTTGTTTATTTTTCCTTTCTTGTTTATTTTTCGCTTCTTTCTTTTTATTTTTTTTCTCATCTTTTATTTTCTCAGATATTTTGCCCACCCTCGCATTCTGGTGAAAAGGGGGGGGGGGGTCACATGCTAGTTGGGCCTCCGCCTAGACTATCTATTATAAATAAGATCTTTGAAAAAAATAATGTACCAATTATTTCTCTGAAAATTTTCTTAAAATGTCCTGGATGTCTTATATGAAATGTTCTGTCTAAGATCCATGCACACATGAAATGTCTCACTCTTGAGTCTCGTCATAAATGTCTGATCAGTAAAATGTCTTAAATATTAATCTTTATTTGAAATGTTCTTAATGTTTTTAAATGTGCTTTTCAAAGAAGATTATCGGATTCATGAACCAAGCAATGAAGAACGGATATCCGAATGTTTTTATTAAATCGACACCTTTGNGGGGGGGGGGGGTCCAAAAATCGTATACTAGGACAGACCCCGTTTGTATCCGTCTTAGTAAACAAGTTAGGCTAGGTTAAGACAATTTCTTGGCCGAGCGCTGCAGCTAGGACAGGCTAGGGGGCTGAGCGTTGCGGCTAGGACATGCATCTAGGGGGCCGGGCGCTGCGGCCACATCATCAATTATATCCATGTTTTACATATGAGATCCATGTACAAAATTGATAGTAGGGATGGGGGGGTGGGTACAAAAATAATTTTCTAGGAATAATTGTTAAAGACAGGTCTATTGACATCTATTTTATCATTATTATGTCAAAAAGAATGAAATTTAATTCCCAAAAATTACTTGAACAGTGTGCACTGCTATTGTACATTGATAAAGTATAAAATATTACTCCAAATAGCGGTTGAAATCTTGTTTGCTTCAAATTGTATAATTTTTAAACATTCTTTTCAACAATAGTTCTCCTACAGTGATAACCAGAAAACTCTGGAATAGGAAGACGACTTTAAGAATCAAGTAATTACTTTAAAAAGTCTTATGAGCAAGAGACATAGCAAATGTAAACAGACCCATTGTACTAAATTAGTGATTTGATAACTCACTGAAAGTGTCTAGTATTGCTTTGTAACAACATCAAATACTCGGAAGTATTACACCGTCTTCCTATTCCGTTGTTTTCTGGTTATCACTGTATTACTTTTTGTAATTTTAACCAGCCCCCCTTCCCCCCAAAGCCCCTCCCCCCAAGCCCCAGCCC